GTTCAGTGCAATTTTGTATCAGGATCTCCGAGACAACCTAGGGGCATAAAACTTAAATTTTGCTATACATAAAATCTTGATACTTCATTTATTTCGCTTTAACGTTTCAGGAGCACACTATTTCTTATTAGTGGTTCTTCTGCGTGCATTCGTGGACTTTGAAGCAATATACCGATAGAAACGTAATACGTAGCGTCCCCAGTGAACTCGTGATACGTTGTAATACCAATACTGTTGTTGACCTCAATCTGCTTCCTCCCGCCTACGTTTCATCCAAAACATTGAATGGAGAGAGGAAACCAGTTTTACAACAACCGAATTTTTTTTCTGGTGTACATTACGGTTTGCTGTTTGTTGAACACATCTTTCTTTCTGAATGTTTTGATCAAAGCGCTCTTTTTTAACGAGTTTAAAGATGTTAGACCTCCCGGAATTCGCAAGCTTGTGCCAAATAACGCACTCAGTGCAATCTCACCGTGATTTTCACCATTCAACTCAAAAAAGAAATCTTTCTCTGATCGTTTTATGATTTATCTACATTTGTGTAATTTATCCAAAATGATTCATACTGGTTCATCTGACTTTTATCAATCGGTCTCTCCGTGCACAGTACCATAATTTTTTCCATGCTAGTATTGCCGGTATTCCATTTATTCTCTCCTTATTCCCTTTCTCTCTTTTTCACTCTGTGTCTCTGTCTATCTCTCGATTTTGCTGCTCACGCATTGCAGGCTCTCGATAACTTCCTTCGTTCGCTAGCCGGTTGTTGTGTGATGACTTACGTGCTGGGCGTAGGCGATCGTCACAATGACAACATCATGATTCGCTATTCCGGTCACGTGTTCCACGTGGATTTCGCCAAAGTGTTCGGGAATGTGCAGACATTTGCCGGGTTCAAACGGTACGTCTATTGTTCACGTGCACGTTCACGGCAATAGTTACATTCTACAAAGCGTTTGTGTGATAACGGCTAAGTTGTTCATAGTGTGAACCTACAATATAAAAAAGAAACTCTATAGAACTTGGGAATGTTGGATTGTTTCAGCAATGAACCCCTAGAATTGCATCATGTCTCTAACCTGCAACACTGCCGATACCCCCAACACGTGTGCTCATAAATTTCATAGACCTGATTCGTCATCACAGTATTTGATTGATCCTGACAACAGTCATTTCGTCAGACGCGATTTGTTTTGCATCCAGTGCTTATCATGCGATTCCCATACAGGAATGGCCCCATTCGTGCAGCTCTACCTGAGATTCACAGGAGTACCAGTGATAACCCAGTTCGTCGATTTCCATCACGAACCCGGCTTGGCGTGTGTATGTGTTGCATGGAATTCCCATGCGTTGCTCTCCATGTACGCTGAATGAACAAACGGATGTAAAAGCTGGGCCATATGGTGTGATTAACATGAGGCACAAAACATCGGTTTCTGTCCTTCTAGCAGTTTGTGTTATGAATCCTACCTGGACACGAATCAGAGACCTTTGATTTGCTGAGGCAAGATCCAGGCCGTCACTGGTTTCCACTTCGAACGTGCATACCACTGAATCTCAAACGTCAAGAACCGCTATATGAGTGTTTTATATCAGTAAACGAGTAATGCACCACTGTATGATATTTCCTTCTTTCCGATGTCTGATTTGAGCTGTTTTTAATCGAGATTTTGATTTAAGCTGACCTTCCTCCCAGTTTTCTCAATAATAGAAGATAGATAATGGAATGACGAGTGATTTATATGACCAAGTGCACTGCGTACTTTTCCCTTGTTTTCACATTAGGCGATTTTTCGATTGCCCTTAACTTTTGTCCAACTATTGACTCCCTGGAAAAAGCCTGAGACACGAGTAAAATGCCGACCAGCACTGTATACTCAAAAGTATTTTTCTTCTCTTTATTGATATTCCACAGATAAAACAATTACTTTCCAAATGGTTATTCACATTAAACTCACAGTTACTTGTGAGTAGTTATGTGAGATAATTGATATTGATTGATTTGAATTAACCCACACCACTACTCACAAGTAGCTGTGAGTTTAATGTGAATAATCAATCGAGCCTGGTAGGTTGATGGGGGGTTTTCGATTGGAGTTAACAGGTTAGATCGGTAAGCTTCTGCAATGATGCGAATATGACAGTTGGTTCAAAGAATTATTTGACTACGGTTCGTTCAATTATTCCTTCAAGTCATATTGCTTCGTCCGTCTGTCTCTTTCCTCGGTTTCTTCATCCGTCACTGATCGTTCCCATCCATGCCACTACAGCGATCGTGTCCCGTTTGTCCTGACGCAAGATATGCTGCATGTACTTCAGGCTTACTCCCGTGAAATTAGTGAAGCGTCTGGTGCCATCACGGGTTTCGGGAACGCACCGAGTTCGGGCGCCGGACGCAGTCACAATTCGAATCGAGAAGGCGTTCAACTATTCATCGATTATTGTTGTGAAGCCTATAATTTGATCCGAAAACATTCGTATGCGTTGCTGTCGATCTTAGAGATGGTAAGCATTCATGATATTCATATTTTTATTCGATAACATTTATTGAACCCTCGCTAATCCTGAGGACTCACGCTTTGTACAGCTTTACTTGTGGGGGGGGGGCGTTGTATGCTGATGCAGCTCGACTGGTGGTGTCACACGATGGAAAGATATGTCTGTTAGGCGGATCAATGCCGTCTACTCCACAAGGTACAAGTCTAATCGCTGTAACTGGAAAAAAAATATCGATAGATATTTAGTAGATCCAGTGGGGCACAAACAAAGGTACTGGACCTCACACAAACTGTTATGGTTGGATCGCGTTCCCGCATATCACAATGTAAAGTTTACTAAGGTCAGTTTATTGACCTCAAAGGCTAAAATGATATACGTAGTTTGATTCATGACAACTCGGAAGTCGAAATGTCTTGCAGTACACGGTTTTCTTCTCAAAGATAGAACTAATATATAAAGATGACAATGGCGTAAAAAATACAAACCTCAAATTGAAAAGGAACCCAAGTTTGGATGGCGATTTTAAGACTTGAACCTTGAGCCTCCGAACCCGAGAATGATAGTGGGAACATGTTAAATCAGTTGATCATAGCAAATGACACCCTAAGTCAACAGCCATATAATAATTTTTATTAGATTGCAGTGGTCCGGTAGTCCCTACTCACCTGATACGTGGCCCCTTGCAATCTGCTACGGATAGTACGTCAGTTATCTTGGTACTCGGCGGAAACGGGGTAAACGTCGAATAGAGCATGGCTTTCTGAGTGGGCCTCAGTAGAATAATCCTAATTAATAGAATTTACTTCGTGACCGTTGCTAATCCCATCGCCCTCTTTCCTTTATTAACCCGAAGTGTATTACCGTGTGAGCCAAAAGTTCTAAATTCCCGTTATTCAGAATGTCTTCATACTCGTTTCTTTTCCGCACGTCACTTTATTCTTCAGTTCCTTGAATTGTTTTTCTAGTGTCAGTTGTTAATCCGCATTCCATTTCTTTTGTCTGTGGTCAAGCAATTTAGCGGTCTCAGCTGCCTATGAAAGATCGCAGTCAGTTTCTTTTTCTTGCTTGGACTACAAGATTTCACATGATTTGCATCAGCTGATCCACCCACTTAATTGAAGGACTCTAAGAGTCGGTTCACACCCTGAGCTAATACAAACAGACGTAATAGTAATAATAATGTCCTTTTAGTTCCTTTTTTTGAATATACAAATGTACGGTCAACATTCAGGAGGGGGGGGCTGCGGCCATACAACGGCTGCCTGGGAAAATACAGAAATAGGGAAGACGGGCGGCGGTGGAGCTGTTCGAACCCGGGACGCCCGGGTCACAAATTGGTGACCTAACCATGTAACCACCGCTCTTGAATATTACAGTAATGTAAGGAGTGGGGCTTTGTTTAGCACTCTCTCCTTGATCTTGTCCAACGAATAGCAACCCAGCTGATCGATGATCCTTACCTAAAATCCACTCTGCGGTCATTAGCCTTTTGTCGGACAGTTGCTTCACGTTCCTTCATTAACGTAACTACTTAGTTTTTTGTTCTTCCGAGCTTGCCTCAGCAGTTTCCTTTTCCCTAACTTTTTTCTGACCTTCCCGTATACAAGCATCTACTCATTCTTATTAGATTTCGAACCATAGCTATCGTATTTCTCTGCTTCACTCTTCTTTTTTCCGCCCGAATTCCCAAATCTTGGAACACCCTTCCACTCTTTGTCCTTCCTACAACTTACAGCTTTACACTCTTTGAACCACTCTCTTTGAGTCAATAAGCGGGATCTTGCGTGGATGTTACTATGTTTCAATGGAATTCAGTATCCGTAAGAGCGATCCCTCCATGTGAGATATCTTATGTATCAGCGCTTGAGGAGATTGAACGAAATGTTAACATCTC